GTTATGCTCTGCTACTATGTATGACTAGTGATGACAAATAATCTCTTTAAGAATATGTAACTGTTGTCTGTTAACATTCTACAGTGATTTAACTACTAGGATACCACGGTTGATAAGAAATAACACTTCCCTGGTTACACTTTGTATTTCAAGGTGCTTACTACTCAGATAAAATTTTCATAATTAGGTGGATCACTCCCAACTAAGTATACTAATGTAGACCCTTAATTTCTATTTTATATCCCTATCCACTTTTGACATTCATGCTAAGCTTAAAAAGACAGACCTCAGCCCTCAAACTCCACCAGAAAGACTTACTTAATCTGGCTTTTCATGTCCTCACTAATAGAGACAAAAATTAACTATACACAAGTGCCAGCTTTGGCTGCGACACTCAGGACTTCCATCAAAGCAGGACCTTGGCAAGATAATGCTGAACCTAAACAGTGCTGCTACCAGAGTCCCTCCTGGATGGTCTCAAGTACATCCAAGGAGGACACTGGGCACGAGTCTGCCCCAACTTGCAGCCACCACTGAGACCTGGTCCCATCTACAAGCTTGAGAGTCATGGACATTTGACCGCCCTGTCTGCCAGAGAGTGGGTAAGTCATCCAATTCCCTGCCCTCACAGGAAAACTCACTGCAGCCAGATCCATCAATAGTTGATGTGTTTGGTCTTGCCACTGAAAAGGAACAACAGGGCTTGGGGCCCATAACTCCCATGGAGGTATTTTTGTCAGAGGCTCGAATCTCGCTGGACATGCCAGGTAGGAAACTCTTTTCTTGTTGACATGAGGACCACATGTAATATTCTTCCTGAGTTTTCAGGTTGCTGTATTAGATCTACAGTCTAATTAATCTACAGATCAACTGTGGACAGTGGGTGCTGATGAGTGACCTACACAGCCCCCTCAGACAGGGACCCTTCTCTGCCAACTCTAGGTACTGTTTTTCACTCATAATTTCCTTGTGATCCCAACCTGCCCCACACTTCTCATGGGGAGAGATCTCCTCCAAAATCTCGGCTTCTCTTTCACTTCTCTTCTCACAGTGCTTGCTCTGTAAACCCAACCTCAATGCACAGCGAGCTCCTCCCTCTCTTCCTTAACTGACCACATATTCTGGGACACTTGTAGTCCTACTTGTGCCACCCATGCTACCCCTACACTAGTTGCTTCTGGGATCCCTCAGCTTCCCCTGTGTTCCCCAACATCCAACAGCCCCTAAACATCAATGGAGAATACAGGCAAATGGGCCATTAAAGGCCCACCTCACCCAAGTTATCCTGGAGCTCTACCTACCTTGGCCCCAGCTCCTTCCCTTAGCTCTTACTAGACTTAAGCACTCCCAGGGCCCCCACCTTCCTAAGTCCATTTGAGCTCATGTATGGGAGACCTTTCCTGCTTCACAACTTCCCCATTCCGGATAACTGTCCCCTCACTGCTGACTATATTCCCATTCTTATCTTCCTCTAGTGCCTGCTGTGAAAACAGTAGATGCCTGCCTCCTACAACTAATAGATACTACTCAATCAGTGCATCTATATTTCCTGGAGATTTAATATAGCTTGCTATATTGTGCCATGCCTACAGGATTAGATCCTGCGTGGACAGGCCCCCACCTGGTCATCCTCTCAATAACAACAGAGGTCAAATTTGTTAGCCAGCTTGCTCTCCTGGTTCTCCATCACCCAAGACAAGCGGTACCCACACAACTCCACTTCATCTGACAACCCCACTCTTCCTGATCCTGAGCTCTTGTCACCTGAGTGGTCTTTACAACTCTTGTCACCTACACATCTTTGCCTAATTAAGGGTTCAAAAACCCTAGGGTAACTCATGTGTTTCTTTTCCATCTGGTTTCTGACCCCCTACATTCTGCTAGTCCTATTGTTGCTGCTGAACTCTAGATCATTTGTCCAGATGACTTTCAGATGCCACACAAGATTTCTTCAATCTCGGATGCTAGCCTTCACTAATGATATTCTTGTCCTGGCTGAAACACCTGGCACTAGCATCTATATGCGTGTGAAACATCATTCTGTCTACCTCCTTGCCCCCCAGATGACACCTCTATTCAGCAGGAAGCAGTCTAGGAGATTCATCGCCCCTTCATAACAACTAAAAGATGGGAATGATAGTTTCTGGCCTAGTACAAACTGCTACATCAACATGGCTGAATCTCCCAAACAACAGCTTATCTCCCCATGACCACTTCCTCCTCCTTTCCTACTCCAGCCCTGGATACAACTTCCTCTTACCTTTCCGGCCCACAGAAGGGAGCCTCCAGTCATTCCTTGTGTGTCACTGAACCTGGCCCTCAAACTCTGCCCCTAGCCAAAGTCCATAATGTCTCAGCCTCCCTGTCTCAGGTCAGAGGATCCACCCATCGCCCTGCCCTTGATCCTCTTTGAGTCTTTAGAGTTAGTAAAAGCTTCCCCTTCCCCTTATTTCTGCTTCTCTGCTGCTCTGCCACTCTGCCACAACATTTTCAAGTTAGATGATTCACTTCAGTCTATCATCTGTGACAGGCTTAACAGCCTCCTTGAAATAAGAAGACAGACACTGACTAGAACCTGAAATGAGGCCCCAAAGGCTGCAGGGCAAAAGTCTATTCAGTGAAATTAATTTGTTTTCAAAGACAAGCAAATGCCTGTCATGGTAATTCCAGCTCAAAACTACTTCCTTTGGCAATACTTTTCTGAACAGACTCAGTAGAAGGTCTGAATTTTGAAAACGGAAGTTATTTTAACAGGAATACATATTATTTAGTACTCAGGGGTAGGACATGGCTATCACATCAAAAGTAATGATAAGTAATTATATTTTTATCTCTAAGACACTTAATTTACTATAGTTTTAATCAGGTCCCTCCATAAACAAAAGCAGAATAGAAGGCTTGTGTTACCAGCCTCAGTCACCCTATTCCCCGTCTGGTCCACGACAGGCAGAGGTGGATGTGCTGATCTGCTCTGTTTAGCAGTCTCTATTCAAAAGTAACCTTTCAAATATCTTGGAGATCATACGAGGTAAGTGACAAGTGGTGAAGCAGTTTTTCTCCACCGTACGGCGTCAGGCATCGTTCCTTCTTTCTGGAACACCCAGCATATAAAGTGTCAGTTGTAGGGCAAGGTGAAAGCCTATTCACCTCCACAGCATTACGCTTCTGGTGGAGCCATTCCAGTGGAGGTGAAGAGACTGAGGTTCTAATTTGCATTTCCCAGACCACTGAACATCTGTTTTTGTGTTTACTAGCCACTCTTCTGCTGTTTTAAAAATGAGTATCTGTTCAAAGCTTTTGCCCATTAAAAATGGGGGCTGCTTTTCTTCTTATTGGGTATAAAATGTTATGTACTCAAGAAACAAATCCTTTGTCAGATATATGTATTTTGAATATTTTCTCATATTCTTTTTTTTTTTTTTTTTTTTATTTATTTATTTGTGTGTGTGTGTGTGTGTGTGTGTGTGTGTGTGTGGCCAGCTCAGCCCTCCAGGGGACGTGGCTGGCTGGCATGTGGTGCTGGAGGATTGAACCACGGTCCCTGTGCTTTGCTAAGCTTGTTCTAAGTAGGTGCTTTAGACCACTGAGCCATCCCTCCAGCCCCTTTTCTCATATTCTTTCAGTACCCATTTTGTTTTCTTAATGAAGTATTTTGAAGAACAAAAGTATTGATTTTGATAGAAGTACTTATAATTTTTCTTTTCTATGAGTCCTTTTTGTGTCTTATATAAACATTTTGGTTAGCCAAGGTCACAGAAATGCTTTTTTCTTCTCCTCCTTCTCCCCCTGCTCTTTCTTCTTCCCTCCTTTCCTGCTTCTTCTTCCCTTCCTTTTTGTTTGAGACAGGGTCTCACTAGGTAGCCCAAGCTGGTCTGAAGCTTGCACTTGTCCTGCCTCAGCTTCCAAAATTCTGGGATTACAAGATGCACCACCATGTCCAGCAGTAATGCTTTCTTCTAGGAGTTTCATAGTATTGGATTTTATATTTCTATCTGATACATTTAATTCTTGAGTGATGTGACACGGAGGCCTGATGTTCTTTTTTTTGAAACAAGTTCTCCCTGTGTAGTTCAGGCTGGCCTTGAACTTAGTATGGAGCCCAAGCTGGTCTCAAGCTTGAAGTGATCCACCTGCCTGAGCCTCCTAAGTGCTAGAATTATAGGCATGCGCCCACATGCCCAGCTTGAAGGCCTGATGTTCTTTTAAAATTATTCCTGTCATTAGACAAGAGAAAAGAAAAGGGAGGGTCTAACACAGGGCATGAACATGATCAACTAGATTATACACACTGAAATCCCTCCCAGATGTGGAACTAGGGAAGGGTGGAGTAACAAGGGGGTGAAGAGGAATGGCTAAGGTGTGTTGTGCACAGGAACAGATCTGCCATGATGCAACCCGTGAATCTGTGCAACTGATCTGCATAGCAACACTGTGGAAAGACACATCTTTTTCTTTATTTTTTAATAGCACATTGTTACCTATACAATGAGGTTCAGTGTGAGCTCCACAAATGCATATAGAGTAGACTAACCAATCCCAGCTCCACCTTACCTACTCTGAAACATCCTTTTGAACCGTCACTAGTCATTATTCTACATTTGCTAGCTTATTTTAGCTTCCTATTATGAGAGCAGACAGCATTTTAAAAATTTATTTATTTTTATGTATTTAGTACAAGGTCTACGGGGTCTCACTACACAGACTGGCCAGTGGTGATCCTCCTGTTTCTCAGCCTCCCAAGCACTGAGACTACAGGCGTGTGCCACCATGCCCAGTCTTAATCGCCATCTCAGCACACCCCGGGGGTGGGGCCGGCACAGCACCCTGGGGATTTAACCTGGCCGCTGTGCTCTGCCTAAGCAGGTGCTTAGTCTGCTGAGTAATCAGGCCAGTCCTTGATATTTCTACACTTCTTTAATTCTTCTTTGATTCTGACTAAGGCTTTTAAAAAGTTCTATTGATGCTGGGCATGGTGCCAAATGCCAGTAATCCCAGCACTAGGGAGGCTGAGGCAGGAGGATCACTGTGAGTTGGAGGTCAGCCTTGGCTACAAAGTGAGTTCAAGGCCAGCCTGAACTGCATGGTGAAACCCTGTCTCAGACACACACACACACACACACACACACACACACACACACACTAATTTTCTACTGATTTGGCAACTAGATTTTTATAATTCTAGCATTTATACCTTATAAACAGAACACAAGACATCTCTATCCTAGAATAATATAAGGACCACAGAAATGTTCTTTTTGATCATCTCTACATTTCTTTTACATTGCTTTAGATCATTATTTTAGCTGTCCTGTTTCAATGTCCATGATGTACTATCTTAAAATAATTTTTTATGGATGAATAATAAGCTTTAGTCTTTATCCTTTTTTTTTTTTTTTTTTTTTTTTACTAATTTTGTATTTGGTTTTTCTGCTTTTCTTAGATATTTGAGATGCAAAATTAGGGACTGGTGCGGATGTGTGGCAGCCTAGCCCACCACTGCAGAACACAGGCAGACACCAGGCAGCAATGGCTCCTGGTGAGTCTAGCCCAGGCGAACAGTCTGGGGAGCCTGGCTGAGTCCTTGCTGCCTCCCTCGTGGGTACCTTGTTGACCCATGCCCTGCCCCTCTCGCATCACTACGGAGTTCAGGTAAACATTGAGAGCCTAAAAAATGCCATAACAAAGGATCAAAAGGCAAATTCAGGCCTCTAGCCCACCCAGAACAAGTCTGGGAGACAAGAACAAGGAACAACTTCGAAGTCACGCACCTGAAACTTCTGAAATGATAGTAACTGAAGTAAAGAAACAACAGCATCAGGCTATGGAAGAAATCAGATCAGAAATAATCTCTCATGTTAAAAAAGAAATGCCAACAATCATGAAAAAATTGCTCCGCACATCTAAAAAAAGACATAGACATAAAAAGAACGGAAAAATGATGGGAACATTGAAGGAACAATATAGGAGAGAATTACAATCCATGAAATAGTCAAACAGATATCCAAGAAATTAAGAATTAAACAGAAATCTGGCAAATTGCTTGAACAAAACTGAAGACAGACCTTCAGACATTGAAGACAGCATTATAGTTAGTGAATACAAAAGGAAAGATCTCTTAAAAATAGCAAGGAACCAGGAAATAACAAGTCAGCAGCTATAAGATGATGCAAAGAAAAACAATATTAGATTGATAGATGGCAAAAAAATGGTAGGAGTCAGAAAAAATGACATAAAAATACTGTCTGCGAAAGTAGTAGCAGAAAAAAAAAAGTAGTAGCAGAAAATTTCCCAAGCCTTGGAAATTCAGTTAGGTTAGACATATAGAAGTCCAACTAGCCATAATCAAAATAAATCTATACCTAGACACATAATAATCAAATTTAGCATAAGAACAGAGTATTAAAAGCAGTTAGAGAAAACAAATAGATCACCTATACAGGAAAGCTGGTCAGAATCATGGCAGATTTCTCAACACAAACCATCAAGTCAAGAAGAACTTGGAATGTCCCAAAAGAAAACAACTTCCAACCCTGAATGATATACCCTGCAAAACGATCCAATTTAATGGAGAGAGAAGATATTTCCATGACAAAGAATGGAAGAAATCAAAACCACCAAACCAATCCTCCAAAGAGTACTGACAGATATTCTAGAAAGAGACAGGAATGACCACAACTTCAAGAACAACAGATAGGATGGGGAGATAGCTCAGTGGTCTAAGCAGCTGGCTGGCAAGCTCAAGGACCCAAGTTGAATCCCCAGTACTGCATGCCATGCCTGACTCAGAACCCTGGGAGTGCCCTGCTGGCCCAAAACTGGGCGTGGTGGCATATGTCTGTAATTTCAGCACTGGGGAGGTTGAGACAGGAGGATCACTACGAGTCTGAACTGTATAATGTGACCCTATATCAAATAAATAACTAAATAAAAAGAAAAGAACAACAAGAGAAAGGAACCACTAAGCACAGCAAACAATTAAAAAGAGGAGGAAAATATGGAATCTATAGCAAGAAAATAACATGACTAAGATAAACCAATACATGTCAGTTATGACCATCAATGTAAATGGCTCAATTCAGCAATCAAAAGACACAGACTGGCAGAATGGATCAGGAAACAAAATCCAACAATATGCTGTATACAAGAAAGACATTTAATGAAAAAGGAAATTCATAGACTGAAAGTCAAAGGATGGGAAACAATACTCCATGCCAAGGAAGGTATTCTAATGGCATTTTAATCAGGATTGTATTGAATCTGTAGAACAATTTTGAAAATATGGCCATTTTCACAATGTTGGTTCTTTCTATCCAGGAGAAAGGAATATCATTCCATTTCAGAAATCCTCTTCAATCTCTATTCTCAGAGTATTGGAATTTCCACTGTATAAACCTTTTACTTCCTTTGTGAGATTGATTCCTAAGTATTTCTTTTTGTTTTTCTTTCTTTTTTTTTTTCATATTATTGTGAAAGGCATGGTTTCCTAAATTTCTCTCTCAGTGTATTCATTATTTGTGTACAAAAATGTTACTGATCTTTGAGTGCTGACTTTGTATTTGCTGTGCTAAACAATTTGGTTATTAAATCTACAGGCTTCTTGGTGGAGCTTTTGGGGTCTTCTCTGTAGAGTATCATGTCATTTGCAAATAATGATTTCTCTTTTTCCTTTCCAACCATTGTTCCTTTTATTTCTCTCTTGTCCAGTTGCTCTGGCTAAAGTTTCCAAAACTATATTGAGTAGGAGTGGTGACAGTGGACATCTCCTTGTCTTGTTCCTGATTTTAAAGTGAAGGCTTTCAGTTTTTGTCCATTTAGTTTGATATTGGCTGTTGGTTTCTCATAGATGGTTTTTATCAGGTTGAGGTAAAAAACCATCTATTTCAATTTTCTGTAGGCTTTTTTTTTTATCATAAATGAGTATCAGACTTTGTCAAAAGCCTCTTCTGCATCTATTGAGATGATGATGATGATGTGATTTTTGTCTTTGGCTCTGTTGATGTGGTGTATTACATTTGTGGATTTACAAATATTGAACTATCCCTGCATTCCTGAAATGACTCCCACGTGGTTGTGGTGTATAATATTCTTGATGATTTGCTGCCTTCTGTTTGCTATAATTTTATTGAGGATTTTTGCATCTGTGTTCATTAGGGAGCTAGGTTTGTAGTTCTCTTTTTTGGTTGAGTCTATCTCTGGTTTTTGTATCATAGTAATGCTTGCCTCCAGAAATGAGTTTGGGGGAATTGCTTCCCTTTCAATCTCACTGAAGTTTGTGAACAGTTGGCATTAAATCTTCTCTAAATTTCTTGTAGAGTTCAGTTATGAATCTATGATGACTTAGGCTTTTCTTTGTTGGTACTCTATTTATTTTATTAATTTTCAATTTCATCTATTATTACTGGGTCATTCAGAGTTTTCATATCTTCTTGATTCAGTTTTGACAATTCATATGTATCTAGCAATCCATCCATTTCTTCTGCATTTTCCATCTTGTGTGTAAAGATTTTGGAAGTAGGTAAAATGAGGATCATCTGAATTTCTATAGGATCTGTAGTGATTTCTCCCTTTTCATTCTTGTTGCATTAATTTGATCTTTTTCCCTTTTTTAAAAAAGAATGGCTAGGGTGTTGCAAATTTTATTTATTCTTTCAAATAATCAATTATTTGATTCATTAATTCTTTGTTTCGTTTTCATAGTTTCAATTGCATTAATATCTGCTCTGATCTTTATAATTTCCTGCCTTCTTTGGGCTTTAAACTTGATTTGTTCTTCTTTTTCTAGGAACCTGGGGTGTAGCATAAGATTGTTTATCTGGGCTTGTTCTATTTTCCTAATGTATGAATTTACCACTATAAATTTCCTTCTTAAGACAGCTTTCATTGCACCTCACAGGTTCCAGTAACTTGTATTTGCATTTTTGTTGTTTGTAGATATTGTTCAACTTCTTCTTTAATTTCATCTGTGACCAACTGATTGTTCAGGAGGTTATTTAATTTCCATGAGTTTAGGGTGTCTTTGTGATTTATTTTATCAATAATTTTTAGCTTCGTTGCCCTATGGTCAGATAATATGCATGGGATTATTTCAGTTCCTTTGCATTTACTTAAACATATTCTATGTGCTAGTATATGGTCTATTTTGGTCTATTTTGGAGAATGTCCCACGTGTAGGCGAAAAGAATGTGCATTTTCATGTTACAAGCTGTAACACTCTGTAACATAAGAATGTACCAAGTCCATCTCTTCACAAGTTTGGTTTAGTTCTGTTATTTCTTTGCTGATATTTTGCCTAGTAGCCCTATCTCTTTCTGACAATGAGGTGTTAAAGTCCCCCACTACAGTTGTGTTATTGCTCATTTGATTTTTTTTTTTCCATCTCTTTAAAATTTGTCTTACTGGGGCTGGGGAGATAGCTCAGTAGAATAAGCGCTTGCCTAAATAAATAAATTTGTCTTATTGTGGTTGAGTGCTCCTACATTGGGTACATAAATATTTATGATTGTTATCACTTCGTCTTGTAGTTTTTCCCTAACAAGTGTGTAGTGATCTTCTTTACCTCTTTCAATCATTCTTGGTTTGAAGTTGACATTATCAGTAACCAGAATAGCTATCCCTGCTTTTTTTTTTTTTTTTCTATTTTTTGAGTTCTGTATTAGTCTATCTTCAGTTTTGTTCAAGCAAAGTCTAATACTCATTTATGATAAAAACCCCTACAGAAAATTGAAATAGATGGTTTTTACCTCAACCTGATAAAAACCATCTATGAGAAACCAACAGCCAATATCAAACTAAATGGATAAAAACCAAAAGCCTTCACTTTAAAATCAGGAACAAGACAAGGAGATGTCCACTGTCACCACTCCTACTCAATATAGTTTTGGAAACTTTAGCCAGAGTAACTAGACGAGAGAGAAATAAAAGGAACAGTGGTTGGAAAGGAAAAAGAGAAATCATTTGCAGATGACATGATACTCTACAGAGAAGACCCCAAAAGCACCACCAAGAAGCCTGTAGATTTAATAACCAAATTGTTTAG